GGCAGGGGAGTGCTCTTATCTCGGCTGAAAGGATAACTGCATTCTGAGCGTCAGGTTCTCATCTTTTCTCTTTTGTCGTCCATTTGAGGCAGGGAGGCAATGGCAAGGAAACCCATCAGATGTGATTTTTCTTTTTTCTGCATGTTTTAATTTCTCTTTTGTTTTCAAAAGTGCCTCCAGTTTAAACCACTTGGCTTGTTATGTGCCCTGCATCAAACAGGAGCTAAAGGGAGGAACATGTTTAAGAACTGCTCAACATGCTCTCAAGCTTGTGTGAATATGAGGTTTTTTCATAACCCTTGTACCAGCATTCTGAATTATTTTGGTGTAGCAATAACTGCTTTTCCCACATTATGTGCAGACATCTTAAAATTGGATATTGGGATGTGATTTCAAGTAAAGATTCTCCCTTGTTTTTTTTTTGTGGGGGGGGGGCTTGACACCTCTTTTGTGTGGTTTCTTTGATAGGTTTCTTAGCCATGCTTTAAATTTAGATTTCTTGCAAACAGTTTCTGGGATTTCAGATGAGGTGTGTGAGTGCGTATGTTTAAGGGCGATTGAGCAGAGAGGTGTGTGTGTGTGTGTGTGCGCGCGCGCATGACTGTATCCCACTCTCTCTCCTCCCACAATCTTTAATTCTCTGGTTAATTTTATTCTGGTTCTGACAGACTACTGCAGTTCTTTTGCCTAATGTACAAAGACAAAATACCGATGTATATTTTTCATGTTATGGAAATTGTCACCTCTAGTGAGTTCTTCTAAAATATAATTTTTTTCCAATACTTGTTTGAGTGTGCTGTCTGTGTTTAAAGTGTTGTCACAAACTTGAAAGTATTACGAAATTCATCCATTCATCAATACCAGCGTAACTACAAATGTATGTGCTTTTTATTAAGGTTATTCTTCTCAAAACATGACAATTTTACATAAACCATTGGCTGAAAAGTGTATCTACTGTTCTCTAGTTTTTAAGACATTTTTGTTCTGTATAGCTTTATTTTTATTTGTTATATCAGTTTTAGTACTAGAAGTTATTTATGAGTTAGATGCCAAGGCAACATTTGTAATTTCTTGTAGGTAATTTATCTCTTGTTTATTATTTTTATTACAATTAGTTTCAATTTCACAAAAAGGTTTTTAATAGTTTTAGAAAACAATAACAACATTGGCTAGGACAATGTTGCTTGGCTGTCATAAAGCCAATTGAATTTAAGAAAATGTGCATTTGAATGTGCAACAGATGCCACCCTCCATGGTGTAAGTGCCATGTAGTTGTACTGAGACTTTTATACAACCGATTAGGCTCTATTTTTAGAAAGGGTTTTGGAGATGTGAGCCAAAGAGGGCATTTATCTAAATGTAATTCCTTATCCCTAATGTCTCTGGAACAATCATGAGGAACACGTTGGCTTTTGGTCAAAATAAAACTTAAAATAAGAGTGCATATTAAAGACCCCATGTACAGTTGGTTTATTTGGCACACAGACTTGCACATTATGTAAACTGTCATTGTTAATACACTTTACAAACGTAATGTGTATCTTTGGCTCGGTGCTTACACACACACACACACACACACACACACACACACACACTCTTGTGGGGACTCTCAATTTCTTGTAGGTAATTTATCTCTTGTTTATTATTTTTATTACAATTAGTTTCAATTTCACAAAAAGGTTTTTAATAGTTTTAGAAAACAATAACAACATTGGCTAGGACAATGTTGCTTGGCTGTCATAAAGCCAATTGAATTTAAGAAAATGTGCATTTGAATGTGCAACAGATGCCACCCTCCATGGTGTAAGTGCCATGTAGTTGTACTGAGACTTTTATACAACCGATTAGGCTCTATTTTTAGAAAGGGTTTTGGAGATGTGAGCCAAAGAGGGCATTTATCTAAATGTAATTCCTTATCCCTAATGTCTCTGGAACAATCATGAGGAACACGTTGGCTTTTGGTCAAAATAAAACTTAAAATAAGAGTGCATATTAAAGACCCCATGTACAGTTGGTTTATTTGGCACACAGACTTGCACATTATGTAAACTGTCATTGTTAATACACTTTACAAACGTAATGTGTATCTTTGGCTCGGTGCTTACACACACACACACACACACACACACACACACACACACTCCTCCCAAATCAAAACCTTCCTCCCGCGGTCTCTCGCGGTATTAGGCGACAAGCCACGGATCCAACATGGCGGAAGGTATGAGAATGGTTTCTTTATTATTTTTCACGCCCTTTCTGTTTAACACATGCAGCGGCTGTACCTTTACACGATGGACAGACCTAATAATGCATGTAATTGATTTCACCACAGCCAGTTGGCAACAAATATTGCGTACCTCTGAAATGAGTCTCATTATTGCTTCGATTGTTTTTTCCAGCTAGCTGGTTGCAAGTCAGGTGGTGGGCTGGGCGGTAGTAATAATAATTTGCCGGGTGATTTGAGCTCTCGTGTAAAGAAATATAAGATAAATGCTTTTTCTAAAAGATGTCTAAAGTTGTTTTTGTCGCAGAACATCCAACGTTATGATTTTGAAATGGAAATAGTTGATTTTAGAAACATTGTCGTCATGTATTCTGATTTTGCGCTTGCCTTCCAAGTCGTTTTTTTTTCATTAGAATTTGCACTTTTATTAGTCTTTTATCCTGTTCTTCGTCATCTCAAATGAGAAATTCACCTGAATGTATAAGCTGGTTTTTAAATCTGACAATGTATAGCACTGTATATTTGATATATTTCAATATATAACATGACACTGATATATGATAACAGTAGAAAATAAATAAATGTATAACTCTTCAATGTTGTTGTTATGTACGGATAATTTGCACATATCTTGATTGCATATAAAGAAGTCGCAGCAGGCGGTTGCAACCGTTACTTTTATCAGCTCATATGTGACATCTCCCTTCTTTATCTTTCCACAACATGCTGTAAAATAATAACACATTTAAATGCCGTCTTCTTCAAATAGCGTAAGAACACTAACAATCTTTCTGTCATGTTGTTTGCTTCTTTTTAAAAGACGGCGTGGCTAATAATAAGAGTCTAGTGCAGTTGTATTATAATAATGCAACCATGTAAGGTTAGTGACGAGCATATTGGTTGAAGCCATGTTTGGTACATTTTTATGGCTGTACCTCTTTCTGAATAAAGATTAGTAGAGCAATTTATTGTATACTAATTAGACTATTTCCAGATAATCGAGAATGATTTATCCTTCATCTGAATTCATTGTGTAATTCATGAGGTGTAATTCATGTAGCCTACTTGTTGGTATTGCAAGCAGGTTATTGCTTCACAAGGTTTCTTGTCATCTGATTGGCTTTTAAATGCTTTATGGGGCCTATTTGGATGGTTCTGAGTTGTTGATTTCTTAGGACACTGGATTCTTGAATCTAGGCTAAAGGCAAATGGCTCACATATTAAACTGAGAACATGCCTTTGCTTACAGGCACACAGGTTTGATTGGTTGCAATGACTAGGGTAGACTTTTTGCAAAAATTACAGCTTTCACATAGGCCTAGTACATTTACACCAGGTGCTGCTTGCTGTTTTTAGCAACATTCAAAGATGTTCCTAAATGCCAAATGGTAACACATTATTAGACCGGCTTTCTCAGCACCTAAGCTTATGTAGTGCAATGGCAAAGTGTAACCTCAGCATTCTAGAGAGACACAGAAATAAATTCAAGGAAAGAGGAAGGAAGCGGCCCGTGTTGGAATGTAGGTTAAGCTGTGAAATCCTCTAGTTACAGATCCAAGGCAATTACCACACTGAGAATGGCGAGTTTAAAGTTGTTATTTTGTGGTTTGAGTGGAATGATATGGATCCTGAGGGTGTATATGAACGCTTGTGTTTGTTCTTCATGAATTAGACCATGTTGAAAGTGTTTTTACTTCTCAAAAAGCAGAAAGACAGTTTTCCTCACATAGCGTTGGTCCACTTCACCTCCCTTGAGCGTGCTTGGGAAGTCGGTCTGTGTCAGCAGTTTTCATATGAAATCTGTGTTTTGTCCCTCTCTTTCTCTTCTTCATGGCATTTCCACTTCCCTTTTTCATTACCCATCACATTTCTTTTCACTTTAACTGTTTATTATCCATTTACCCTCATTTTCTCCTTATACCCCATGTGCTTATTCATTGTGTTCCACTTCTTGTCATCTCTCCCCTTCTTGCCCCTTACCTCTCCATCATTTTCATTATACCTGCAGAGGAGGTGCAGAAATTGCAGAAGCACCTTGCTCTGCTGAGGCAGGAGTATGTGAAGATGCAGCAGAAGCTGGTGGAGACGGAGAGGCGGTGCTCCGTGTTGGCCGCCCAGGCCACTCTCCCCGGCTCCACCTCCCAGGCCAGTGACAACTTCATCAGCCGCCTGCTGGCCATCGTGGCTGACCTTTATCAGCAAGAGCAGTACAGGTGAGCACTGGATGTGAACTGTCACTTACTGTTAGATGAGGTCGTATTTAACCTCAGAGGCAAAAGAAATAGGGAAAAAAAAGATGCACATCATTAAACATTTTTATCATTGTTGTTTTTTTTGCATTTTGATATTTTTTCATCATAATGAAACCTATTTTCTTTCCACTGTATGGGGAAAATTGCATTTACTGTAATAAAATATAATTTAAAAAAAATTTAAATTAGCATTGATTATAAATGCCAAATGATGTATACTTGCAATACTTGTTACCATATATGGTTCA